ACCTGGGAGGGTTGGTGGAGCTATCGCGGCACCTCGTGGTAGTTCTTGGGGGGGGGGGGTTAGCATATATACATATATACACACACATGTACACGCATGCATGCACGTATTTATGTGTATGTACGCGAATATTCATATTTATAAGTACACGTGTATATATATATATACGTACATACATATGTATGTGTATGCATGCATGTAAGTAGATATATTCAGGTTCATATGCACATCCTATACATACACATACATACATACATACATACATACATACATACATACATACATACATGTACATACACAGACATACGTACATACATACATACATACACACATACATACATACATACATAGAGAGAATGTAGACCAGTTACATTTCCATATAGCCTTTCATCTATATCTTCTGTGGAACTAGGCAGTTTGGCCAAGGCTGTCCGTCGCAGTCCATGATGGATGACATTGGAGTGCGTGCGTGCATTCATGCATGCGATTTGCTTTTGAGGTAGACTTGGATGGACGGGTGGACCTCTGGGAGGTGATGGCATATGTGCTTGGGCGGAAGATGCTCGGAAGACACAGCAAGTGCAAGTTGGTTTGACGGAGTGCCACTTGCTGTCTTCCGTAGGTTTGACTGTCAGTGGCCTGCGTGGAAGCTCACCATCGAAATCAAGTGATCTTTTAAGATGTGCTGTAGTACCCAGGAAACAGCCTGTCTGGCGCTCGGGTTCAAGGCGAAGTACGATTTTGTGACCCAAGTGTAGCATCTCAATAACGGCGAGTGGTATCATGCGACCTGGACGTTTGCAGTTCGAGGGCCTGCTGCCTGAGGTCGAGTTGCTTCTCTACGACATCTCCAAGGGCACCTTGCTACAAACAGAGGTGGTAAGTTGCAGAAGGGCAAACGATTAGAGTCAGAAGCTCGTAAGAACAAGCTGACAAAGGAATGGCGGCCAAACTTGGGCCGCTACTCCTTGGGAAGAGTGCCGAGGCCCAGGATACAGCCACACGCAGTCAAAGCAGTCAGAGGAACATCGTTGCAGCTTGAAGCAGGCTGTGCACACTGGCGTCCTGGTTTACGGCAGCGAGTACTGGTACG